GAACACCTCCCTTGTTTCCAAGCTACACAACCTTTCAGTGGGTTTCCAGCCCAGGCGTGGACTGCACTGCTCAGGGCTGGGAGAATGACAGCCTCATATGTCTGAAAGCTGACACTTCAGCTTTGAAAAGAAATGGGGGAAAATAAGCTGTTGACTTCTTGGTTAAAGTATTTTCTTGTTCTACTCATGTTCTTATGTCACTAGGCTAAAAAAAGAGAGAGAGAAAGAGGGAGAGAGAGAGAGGGAGAGAGAAGAGAGAGATATGACTTTCCTTGAATGATCTGTTTAACCTAAGCCAGAGGAAAAAAAAGAAAGTCATTAATTACTTATGTGAGCTATTGCTTCAGAAAGACAATAAACCTGCCCGGTCGCCATGGATATGACATATTTGCTCTGAAAACAACACAATAATTAGCAAAGGGGAAAGATACAAGGAGAATATGCAAACTCCTGAGTTTAAAGCCACAGTGCTCTTTTCTACTCGTAAGCCTCTGTTCTGTTTGCAATCCAAATCAAACAAATTTCAAAAATATAGCAAAGAGGGAAATAATAGGAATGGTTCCTCCCGCCTCTGAGCTGAGAAGCAACAACCACTCTACCTACTCCCCTCCAATATAAAATAATATAAAAGAGAAGCAGGGTGGCAGAAGGAAAAAAAAAAACAAAAACAAAACTCAAGTATTGCCTGTTTTATTTCCTATGGCAGGGGTGGAGTCAGGTTTTTTGTTTTTTTGTTTTTTTTTTAAGTGTGCTCTTATTTAGCATTGGACCTTCTGGCCAGATATAAATTTATTTATGAAAGCCAAATGCTCTGTGCATGCCCCCCCCAACACACACACAAAGTAAATGGAAATGTGAAGGGGTGGGGTTGGGGGGGGTGTCCAGTTGAAAAAGTAAAGCAGTATATTCAGAAAGCACCATCTCTATGGAAGGGCATCCACTCCCCCTATCTCCAAGAAAATGGAACCCCTGCCTTACTTTAATATTAAAAATGCATTAAATGGTTCTACCTACAACTTAGTCCCAAAGGATCATTAGGAAATGCAATCGCATTGTATCATATCTGTCAGCATGATAAATATCTGAGTCAGAGTCAGTTTGCAATTTTTCAGTGTCACAAAACAAGATAATTTTTGTCTGCCTTCCTTTCTTAATTCACTGCAACGCCTCCCCACCCCCCGCCCCAACCAGTCACAGATCTACAGAAAAATACCTGGGCAGAGGAGAAAAGGAGAAAAAGTTGATGTCTTCTCACATACCAGACAGAGGTTATTGATATCCTCCCAAAAAGCAGGCAAAATTGAACTTTAAAATATTTGGGTCACAATTTTCCCCAAAAAATAAATAAATAAAGCACTCCAGTTAAGTTTGACTAAAAACTCCTTTTCCCCTCTTCCCAGAGGCTAATTTTCCTAAAACAGATGGTCAGGATCTAAAAGAGAAGCAAATATACCTCAACCCCCACAGGCAGAGAAATCTAACTTTGAACTTCTCTTAAATTAAAAAGGGGTGGGGGGCAAGATAAACTATTAATAAGTGTGAAAAAAATTAGCTGAGCTACAAGTTTTGTTTTTCTTATTAAAATTATTTAAACACAAGGGGAGCAGATATATAAGGGAGTTTCATATTTAACTGACTTTCTTATTTTTTTTAAACAATAGCCTTTTTTTTAAGATTGGACTCTTTGATCTTGAAAGAATTTTGCTCTTATATGATGGGGGGGAAGGGGGTGGTGGTGAAATGATCTGTTTTAAATGATGATGCAACTTAGAGATCAAAGCCTTCGCTTTCTTCTAGCCATAATAAGCTGTACTTGCCACAAAGCGTAAGGCTCCCGGGCTGGGCTCCTCTCCTTCGTAAGAAGGAAATAAAATACGCCGAGACTCAGAGCAAGACTCCAAGTCTCGGCAAGGTGCAAAGTCTAAAAAACAAACAAATAAGGCAAGGGGAATAAAAGAGGAAGGCACTGCCCCTTTAAACGTTTTAGTGCATATGGAGTTTGATTTCTGAAAGAGATCAGTTTAACATCTCCATAGAAACCAGCAACAGATTATCATCAACAGAATAAATAACTAGTCTAATAAATTAAACAGGAGGCATAAGATCGCTGGAAACCTGATTACTGAAGTTCAACAATATTCACCATAAACTCTCCTTAACCGCCTCTAAGGTGGCTAACAAGAAGGGGGCTGGGGGGGCGGCGATCTCTCCAATTCGCCGGACTCTAGGGACAGAGATGGTGGCTGCCGCCTGGAAAGGAGAAGTTCTCCACTCTGCCCTGGAGAGGGTCCGAGAGCTCCCGCAAGGGGCACACCCTAAAAACCGAAGTTTAGGAAGTGGAAAAGCGGCTGGGGGTCGGGGGAGGTGGCGCGGGTCTCCGGAGATTGCGCGGGTCGCGACGCCCGCCCGGGACGCACCGCCTGATCGCCACCAGGACGCAAACCCGGCGCTTTGCGCTCAGGCGCCGAACGGCCCAGCGCCCCCTCCGGGCACGTGGAGCGCAGCCCCGGCGCAGCCCCCGGGGACCAACTACCCCCCTCCCCATGCCCGGCGCAGCTGCTCCTGCTCAGCCGGGACAGCTCCCTTTAGGACGGCGACGTGTGTGTGTGCGCGTGTGTGTGCGTGTGTGTGTGTGCGTGTGTGTGTGTGTGTGTGTATACGCGCGCGCGTCGTGGGTTGGGCGGGGGGACAACAAGATTATCCGGCGATCTGCTTTCCAGTCCCCTCGTGCGCTCTCATCGCGCGCCTGTACCAGCTCGGAGACGTCCTAAATTTACTAACTTTGCCCAGCGACTACCTGGGCCTTTACCCCCTCGCCACCCCCTGAATGTACTGGGTGTTGGCGGGACAACCACGCACAGTGAGGGCCGCGCCCCCACACTCCACTGGGGTATAAACGCACACCCCGCCCCGTGGCCCGGTGATCCAGGTTTGGGGGAGCTCCATACCCAGGAGGGGCGCTACTGCCGCTTTCCCGATGGGCACGCACCCGCACCCACACCGTAGCCAGCGTGGCTGGAAGGAGGTCCTCGCCGCGCCCAGAGCCGGCTTTCCAAGCTGAGGCTGGGGCAGAGGAACTTGGGTGGAGGAAGAGGACGCTCCCTGCCTCCCTCAGCGCTCCACTAGCCTCCCCCAACTCCGGACCCGGGTCGGGGATGACTTAGAAGAAGAATCTGCGCCCACCCCTTAGAGAAAAATCTATTATTATTATCTTAATCTACGCCCCCAAAGTGTCCCTCCAGCCGTGATTGACGGCGCATACACCTGTTCCCTTCGCGGAGGAGCTTCCAGCGCCGGGGACAGACATTCACCCAAACGCTCCGCAGCGGCCCAGCAACCGCCCGCCCGCCCGCGCCCGGCCAGCCCCCGCCAGCCGCCCCAGTGCGCCTCTGCCCGCACCTCACCATCCCGGCGGCCGCCCCCTCCCCTTCCAGGCCCGGCTGCCCGGCCCGCTAGCTCCCGGCAGTGCTGGCTTCGGAAAGAGAGAGAAAGAACAGAAAGCAAAACTTCCTGGCGGCCGACGGCCATCAGCTGCACATTCTGCAAATGCCACCGAGTAAAAATAAACCGGCCGCCGCTCCGCCCGGCCGGCTCACCCCGGGCGCACGAATCGGCCCCCTGCCCCGGGACCTCCCTGACTCGCTCTGGCCCAATCCCCCATTCCCGCGCGTCCCCTGAAGCCCCGCTCCCCGACGTTCCTCCGTCAGTCACCATGCTCTCCTTTGCCGTTAAGCCGGACCCCAAGTGACCGGGGAACCGGCTCTCTCCCTTTGGTGTTCCCTGCGCCCCCACAAACTACTTTTTTCTCTGTCCTTCAGAGTGCCTATTTCAGCCCTGTGCCCTTGGATTCAGGGCTCCTTCTCTCCAGTTGCTGAGCCCCGAGGTCACCCTCAGCCCACCCTGGGGGAACAGACCCCGCCCGATCCTCTCCCACGCCGCAAAGCCCCCCCGGAGCGCTCCGCTCCACCAGGCTGCTAGCCCGCCAGTCCCCGGGCGCAACTTCTCTCCCGGCGCACACAACAGCCGGCAACAACTCGCCCGAACTTTCCCCGGGACCCAGGCGGGCTCCGGCCGACAGCCGGGCGGCTCTGGGCCGGCGCCCCGGTTCCCCGTGCCCTGTGTTGCCAGCCCTTCACTCTGGGAGGCAGGGGGTGGGGTGGGGAAGGGAGTGAGGAACGCCACTTGCCGCGCCTGGAGCAGCGCACTTAAGATAAACTTCCCAGGCACAGATGAAAAGGGGGGCGCCGCTCCCCCATCTAAGAAATATCTTGCCTTCGATTTCCTATCGGGGATACCCTTTGGCACCCCGTACCTAAGCGAACACTGCCTACCTCTGCTGGCAGCACCTACACCCGGTATCCGGGCACAAGAGCCTCCTGGAGAGGTTCCCCACCCACCCCTTCCCATGGGCAAAGTCTTGCAAAGTCACCCCAGGCGCCCCTCACCCCTGCCTCCTTCTCCGCCCTGGAGAGTGCACGACCCCTCTGCTGCTGGGGGGTGGGGTGGGGTGGGGGTGTAGGGAGAAGGAGTGATTACCCGGTATTGGCGAGCACCTGCCCCCCCCAGGAGCCCACAGCGTGGGGGGCGCCCCCACCCTATTTGCAAAGTCCTGCAGTCGCGCCTGGCACCTCCCTCTCTTCTCCCCTACCCCGCCGCCCCCTCAGTTGGAGTAAGTGACCCCCAGGAGGAGCAGCCCTCCCCTCCCCAGGAGCCGCGCGCCGGGCATTTCCCTGGCCACGGCGGGCAACGCGCCGCCCCGCGCCTGGGTGCCAGCCCTCCGTGCCCCCTGCCTCCGCACGGCCGGAGTTGGGTGGCAGCCGCCGATCGCAGGCTGGCTGGTTGGCTCTCTCGCTCGCTCGCCCGCTGCCTGCTGCAAGCGGCAGCCCCGGGGGTGGGGGGGTTGCACCGGGACAAGGAGAGCGACGGGGAGGCGCCCCGGGAGGCCCGCGGAGCTGGGGGGCGTGGGGGGGCCGCGGCAGAGGGAGCGCCGAGTCTCTTACCTGCACTTGGGGCGGCTTTGGGTGACTTTCCAAGTCCGGGGGAAAAATGTGTGTGTGTTTGGGATGGAGCGCCGCGGGCGCGCATGCGCTGCCCAAAGTTGCCGGATCCCGGATTTTTCGCTCCCAGTCTCCGCTCTCGCCCGCTGTGATTATGGAATTCTCCGCGGCCGGGCGGGCGACTGGGTGGCATGCAAAACCCGGGCCGGATCTCGGGGCCGGGCTCCGCTCCACCCTCACACCCCCAGACCTGCCCCTCCCGGATCCTTTCCACCCACCGCCCGGGCTGAGGTCAGCGTGCGCGTGCGGCGAGTCGCTGCCTGCGGAGTAGCATCTGAGCGCTCGGCCACCTTTTGCAGCTCCAGAAGCTTCTACACCCCCTAACTAAGTTGAGTTGAGGCTAGGGGAAAAGAGAGAAGGGATGATGGGAGGGGGGGCGTTACTTTCCACCTGTTCTGAATCTGGGGAGAGTCCGAGTTTGGTTCCCACTTTCCGCAGAAGAACTGGCTCTTTCTTGCAAGTTAGAGTGTTAGACTGTGAAACCCAAAGGAACGAAATGTTCTCACTGTTTGATATCTGCTTTGCACTTATTCTTTGCAAGGGAGTTTTTCGTTCAATCTACTGTGCAAGAAATATATCTTAAGTGAGCAACATAGGCCGTGCAGAATGAACCTTACATGGAGGGGCTGGGGGCAGATTAACACATTAAAACAAGTGGATAATGTTATTTCAGAGAGTGAAAGTATCCATGAAGAAAATAAAGCAAGGCAATAAGTTAAAGAGTGTCTTGAGGGCCAGCGTTGTGGTTTACACCTGTAATCCCAGCACTTAGGGAGGCCGAGGCAGGAGGATCCGTTGAGCCCAGGTGTTCGAGACCAGCTTGGGCAACATAGCCAGACCTAGTCTCTGACAAAACAAAACAAAACAAAACAAAACAGTGTCTTGGGATAGCTAATCCCCCGGCCCCCAGATGATGGGGGAAGAGTCTTTTGAGGGGCACTTTCATACTTTATTGAAGAAACCCCCTTTTCTCCCATACCCAGCTTTCCCTTTTCCCAATTGGTTTCAAGTGGCCACACCAGCTGAGCCTAGTGGTCAGCTTCAGTGCTAGGGCCCTGTAGCTCTCGTCTTGCCTTTCTCAGCAAGCACACCCCTCATTCCAGGCCTGAGCTACTTTTCCCTTTAGCATAAAGGTGGGATGGAAATGTTGAGAGGCATGAAAGAAAGTGAAAACACCCAGATGATGAGATAGGTGAGAAACTGACCGTAACAGTCAATGAAATAGATCAATGATTGGTGGAATAAATGAATATAAATTCAAAGTATGACCCACAGCTTCAAGCCCTGCTCAACAGAATGCATTAAACTAAGAGGCAATGCCACAGGCTGGTAAACATTGTTGCAGGCTGGTAGTCTTTGGAGCCTAATCTGCAAGGTGTCAGGAAAGCCTCTCAGGACCAGAGAAATGACCCAAAGCCCTGTATGATGATTGCCCAAGACAAGCATCTTCCGGGATGCATTCCATGTCCTGCCTTAAACTGGAAGTTAATTGTCCAGAAGCGTATGGACACAGACTGGAGACATGATGGCTCTCTGGCCCTGAGGAGGCCAGGATTTGCCCTCTGCCCTAATAAAGCCAACAAATTTGGGAGAGGAGGCTGAGCCATCCCACACTCCTTAGATACTCAGTGATATTTGCTTGTGTTAGATGGACTGGAGAAGAAACCTCCTCGAAAAGCCAGCTCCTCACTTCCTGGGGGTCCCTTCTGGATTTGTCCACACAGGAAGGCTAGATTTAGGCATTAGACACACCTTTTGGGGTCATTTTGTCCCCCCCCCACTTATCCCAATAATTAACTGGAGGCAGCAACACATCGATAATTAACATTCCTCAAAGACCACTGATTGGTTACTCTCCATTGCCACCCCCACCATCCAAGGCATTCTCAGCTTTCAGGAGTTGGGTACTCACCCACCATCTCTAAGACCCTTGTGCCTGGTGACTCAGCAGGATGCACAGCCCCAGAGATCTCAAGCCCAATCCTGTCATCCTACAGAAAGAGAAACTGAGGCACAGCGAGGGACAGTAACCTGAGAAGTGGCAAGGTAGCTCTTCTAACTTTTTGGCTCAGGGCTGAGTCCACTCCTGGGGCAGTGTAAAGAAGGGGTTAGCAACTTGGGCTTGGAGTTCAGACCCTACCACTCCCCAGCTGGGTGACCCTGAGGAAGGCATTTGACCCTTCTGTGCCTCAGTTGCCCCCACAGTAAAATGGGGATAATAATAGTACCTACTGCCTAGGATTGTTGAGAGGCTAAAATGAGTTAATGCAGGAAAAGGGCCTGGGCCAAGATGTTGATCGATAAATGCCAGTAATTGTCATTGCTCCTTGGGACATCCAGTGCTCCCTTTACTTCTCATTTCTTTCCATGCTCTCTCCATTCCTTCTTCTCCTCTGTCCTTTTTTTCCCCTCCAACAATAGTCCTTCACTCATTCATTCATTTGGTAGGGATGGCTGAGCTCCGAGGAAGGGCAGATCTCCACCAGTGCTGGGGAGAAAGAAATGAATGAGACAAAGCCTGCCCTTGAGGGGCTAGGGAAGAATTCACTCGTCTCTCTGTCCCACTATCAGGCCTACCCCACTTCCCACTATCAGGCCTACCCCACTTCCCACTATCAGGCTCACCCTTACCCCTTTCCCACTACAATGCCCTCCCACACACCCTTTCCCACCTCTCTCAACATCTCCAACAGCCAAGTCACCCACCAAACTTTTATTAAAATTTGTACTCCTCCCTCCATTTTTTTCTCAAATATTTCATAATGTTCCCACCTCCCAAGAAGCCTTTCCACCTCCTCTAAAGGAACCTCATCTCAGGTAGGGAAGGCTGGAAACAGAGTCAAGTCTGGGAGGAGGGAAGAGGATTTGCGGGAGGTGGGGGATGAAAAGGGAAAGCTCTTTTGTTTCTCAACCACCACCCCCATTGTCCCCCCAAAAATTAAAGTAAGGGGCCAGGAGAGAGCGGCAACCGCAGACAGCAGCCTCTGATCGCAGCCAAACGTCTCCACGCCTTGTTCCTCCATCGCTTGTTTTTTTCACTCCCGACCCAAACTTCCCGCGCAGGGACTGAAATCAGGTGCTCTTCCCCCTCATGTTCTTCAATTTAGCATTTCCTGAGCTTCCCCTAAAATAAAATCCAAGTCTTTCCCCCATGATCACCAAGGTCCTTCAAGATCTGGCCGTCGCCTGTCTCTGGGCCTCACGTCTCTCCTTCTCTGCCTGGTTCACACAAGCTTCTTGCTGTCCTGGAAAACACCGAGCTTGTCCCCACCTCAGGGCCTCTGCACCTGCTGTTTCTTCCACCTGGAAGGTCGTCTTTGCAGGCTGCTTCCTGCAAACCAAATGGCATAGTTCGAGTTTCTGCTCCTATCTCACCTCCTCAGGGGGGCTTTCTCGATAACGTAGCTCCCAGCCTTTCTTTACCACTTTGTCCTATTTGAGGGTCCACAATGATTTTGCTCCCTCCTTTGTTCCCATATTTCCTATCCGGCTGCCCCTTCTAGCATGGGAGCTTCTTGGAGACAGGAACTTTGTTCTGAGTCCCCTGTGTCCTCAGCACCTTGAGCAGTGTCTGGCATAAAGCAGGCCCTCACTCTCTATGAGTCAGGCACAGAATTAAGATGAGCCAATGTGGTCCCTGCCCTCCAAGTGCCTATGCTGTGGGAAAGTGACTAGAAAGGTCCTACGACAAAGTTTGGCGGGGGGAAGAGGAGCTGATACGAGCCAATACAACCCGGGACTTCCCAGGAATTACCAGGTTGGTGCGGTGGCCTTGATTGAGATTTTCACTCCCTGGCATTTGGCCGGGGCATCTATAGTAGGGAAATGGATGGCTCGGGCAAACTGTACCCAGCAGAGGAGGCTGCACAGGTGGGAGGGGAGGTGGGTCAGCTAAGGACCCCATCAAAACATTTCTCCAGCCCCCTGCCTCCAGACAGGCTGCATGTGATCAAGAACCTCTCCCATTGCTGTATCTTCAGGGAAGACCCCCCCCTACACACACACACACAAACCTTTCTCACTCTGAGGACAGAGTCTGCACCTTTAACTCAGAAGCCCAGAAGCCAAGCATTGTGCCTGGCACCCAAGAGGCTCCCAATAATTGATTGTGGAACAAATAAAGTTAAGTCTGTTTCAGTTTGTGTAATTGGGAAAGCCTTGAAAGTAATCACAGCTCAGCTTGCTACCCACGGATTTTGGTTTCTGGTCCTCTACTGTGATGGAAAGCAACTTGTACATCAATCACTGATATTTATTGAGTAGTTATTATGTCCCTGGCCCCATGCTAAACCTTCATGATATCTCATTAGACCCACAAAACAACCATATGAAACTGTTGAGATTATAAATATACCCATTATACAGATGAGGAAAGCAGGGCACAGAGAATAACTTTCCCAAGACTGAGGCAGGCAGTCTGACTCCCTTGGGACCAGTTGCTTGGGCAGAGAGATAACACAACCCTCACTACTCCATTTACCCCAATGCAACAAGCCTTTTTACCTTTACTCAATGTTCATAAAGAGATGAAACTTGAATGTGAATTGTATTAGGAGAGGAGAAGGGGGAAGCAGAACAAATCTGTCGATCTTATTCAATCTAATAAAAGATGAGAGGAAACAAAGAAATTACAGTACAAAGCATTGGATCTTAGGCTGAGCATGGTGGCTCATGCCTGTAATCCCAGCACTTTGGGCGGCCAAGAAGGGCGGATCACCTGAGGTCAGGAGTTCAAGACCAGACTGACCGACAAGTGGAAACCCCATCTCTACTAAAAATACAAAAATTAGCCAGGCATGGTGGCGTGTGCCTGTAATTCCAGCTACTCGGGGGGCTGAGGCAGGAAAATTGCTCAAATCCTAGAGGCGGAGGTTGCATTGAGCTGAGATCGTGCCACTGCACTCCAACCTGGGTGACAGAGTAAGACTCTGTCTCAAAAACCAAAAACAAACAACAAAAACCACAAAGCATCCGATCTTGTATACAGTAAGCTCTCAATAAATGGTAACAAAGAGTCACTATTTTTTACATTTTAAAATGGTGAATGATGT